AATGTCAAGGCTTTTGTCAATAATTTTCGATCAACACAGCTTAATTCAACAGTTTATATATATCTTTAGAAAACCAATTTATATTTTCTCTTTGTACCCTTGTGGATTATTTTTACGTTAGAAAACTTTCAAATATCTTACGTTGTTTAATAATGTTCACGGACCACAATATTGAATTAAGCGAACTGAATGTATTTTTTAGTAATCAATTTGAATAATAAATTATATACTACATTTTAATCTTTTGTTTTCCTTGAGTCTTTCAAATGTTGTCTTAATTTTTCATTCGATAATCACCAAAAACTGCTAAAGCTATAACTTGATTTCAGATTGTAAAACCTAACAAAATTTATGGCTAAATCTATGTTTTAAAAAAAAAAAATGATATATGCTTGGGGGAGAAGAAGCAGACTATTAAAAATAATCCCGATGGAGAAAATTCGAAACTGGTTGGCTAATTTCTGTTGAAATCTAACTAGTTGTTTCGCCATCGCATATGTATCTGGTTCCATTTTTTATGGTATGTTATACATCCAAAGAAAAATCCATTTTATGCCTGCTTCAAAAAGCCTGTTCACAAAACCTGTAGAAAAACCAAAACTTCTCTCTTTGCACATCCACATTTGTCAGTTTGTTCGGATTCTCAATCAGTGAGAGTGCCGTGTCATAAAGCAGTTTAACACTTGCACTCTCGTTCAGCCAGAAAAAACCAAAAAACAATACGCGGTAAGATTTAATATAGAATCGTTGTTGAAACTGATTGTTCAATATAAGATGCAAACGTTTCACTATTGTCTTGTTCTACCTCCGGCCCCAATTCAATCCTTCGTCATGAATGTTCATTGACGTGTCTCTAACACCATCTACACCAGGGGCGGGGCTGTTGCCCGTGCTGGGGCCAGTGCCATTTGGGAATCCATGCCCCACAGGTGCACCGATGCAGGTGTAATTAGTATCCGGAGGAGGTGCTGCATAACTAGAATTGGAACCAGAGAGGGCATGGCCAACAAAGTAGTCATTCACCGGTGGTGAGGGATACTGCGAGTGAAAAGGGAGGAGACGTGACAGAGAAGTGTACATGTATGGTGGTGGTGGTGGTGCTGGAGGCTGGCCTGGTGGAGTTGGCGGCAAGAGTGTTGAAGAACCAGAATAAACCCTCGTAGGGTACATTGATCTGAATGGCATTGTTGCATCACCTATGCTGCCTGGAGGTTGATGAAACCCTCCATGTGGAATTGGTTGGCCACTGCCAAAATAACACACATTTTAATTAATAAAGAAACATAAGCAATTCAAGCTTAAACGTCAAGTAAAAGCCTAAGCATTTCTAAACATTAAACAAAAGCACACGGTGAAATGCATAAAAAGAAAGAAACAAAAAGAAAATTTGATAATTAGAGACGAAGTCTTAGGCATTTCAAGCACTTTGACAGAAAGACAGATGAAAGAATGCAGAAAAAGTGAGAAGGAAAAGAGGAAGAGAGGGGGGGGGGGTTGTGAGGGGGGCACATACCCTGGAAGATATCCTAGGTGATGTGCTCCTGGAGCTAAATCGTTAGAGAAGACCAGTTGACGAGCCTTGTTCAGTGTTTCTGTCTCCCTCTCTGAGGAACATACACAGAATTATTAATCAAATCATGCTACCAAGAATTTCAACAAAAAAGAAAGATCCTACAACATTTTTTTATGTGAGAAAACCAGATTGACATGACAATGCTTCAAAATAGGAAAAATCATTGGCCAGCAAATGTCTAGTCTTTCAATATTTTATAACTAACTTTACTGAAACTCATGCCCCAGCTACTACCTTTCTTGATCTTTGAAGAAGAAAGCTGAAAACCCATTTTCTTTTCATTTTTTTTCCTTTGTATCCTATGCATGCCTAAAGGAAAGAAAATGTAATTTTAAATGGTGAAATGAATCAAACTGAAAGGACTTGCCTTGGCGGTGGCGATTCATGTGTCCCCCAAGGGCTTGAGATTTGCAGAACTTGAGGGAACAAAACCTACACTCATGGACCTTACTGGAATCATCTTTTCCGTCCTTAACGCTGCTTTTCTTTTTTCTATAGCCTGCAGCTGGAAAAATGCCAATTAAAGCAATTTTGATGACCCTAAGTTTATACCTAAACTCAAACCCTAATTGCCCGGATCATAGATGAATATTCCAGCCACAATCTTTTCCTGTCTTGTCCTTTTATTGTCTAGGGTTTCGCATTGATACTCCAAAAGCCAAGAAACACTGCTTATTGAAAAAAAAAAAAAAGAAAAAGAAAAATCTTGGCAAAGGTGGAGTCCACTGTCCACATACAAAAAGGGTTTTTTTTTCTCTTGTTCTTGGAAATAATTTTGCAGAATTTTTTATTTTTTTAAAACGGTTCAACTCTAGTAGGCCTTCTAGCTTGGTAAAAGAAACAACCAAAAGAAGTATTATGAACTCTAAAACACAGTTAATAGCACTTAAGATAAATGGATATACCAGCAGATGAAGAGCTGTCATCATAAATCTCTTTACCATCTCTCGAGTAATCTTCAGGTAAGTTATTGAGATCTAATGGATTTTCCTCTGATCTCCTGGAAAAACACAAAAACAATTAAAGAGAGAAAGTTAAAGGAGATAGAAAAGAGTTAAAGAACAAGGATATAGTGAAGGAAATATGGTGCGTAACTGGGGGTGGGGGAGAGGGAGTTTGTGGGGTGAGACCTACATGGTACCCCGACAGAGAAAGACAGAAAAAATGTGGTGAAAAATCTTTCAGACGGAAGAGAACTAAAGCTTGAGAAATTATAAGACTTTGAGTTTGGGACTGAAATACAGAGAGGCTAGTTAAGTGATGGTGAAGAAAGGATAGCTTCAGTCTTTTTATATTTTATTTTTGCCTGCCCCACTCGAGAATTGAAAGCACATCACAGGACAGAGGCTCTCGTGACTTTAAAAAGTAGTGAACTGGGATAAACTTTGCCAACAAGTGCTTGCTAATGTCATTTGGTTAGTATTGGAAAGGAGAGAGAGAATAACAAGGACATGGCCTTTAGTTTTTGGCTTACTACGGTACATTGGTTTGTTTCCCTAGCTCAACTTGTAGATTAATATACAATGCCAAAACACATACAAATATCATTTATATATTTGCATATATATAGTAAAACTGGAACCTATTGAAGCTTTTAACTTTATGTAAATGTTGTATCATCAAATGTGCATCTCCCTTCATGCATATATAGCATTCATTAAATTGATCCTCAGCTAGGGTTTATGCTGTTTTATATAACTTGGAGGGCAGTGTAGATAAAATGAAGCCCTTAGAAGGGCATTCTGGAGATTGTGATCCTTAGGAAGCCTAAGGCCCATTGTAAAATGTACCATTGAAGTGTTTCTATCACTCTGTTAGTCGCTAACCAAGAAATTTCCAGCATTTTTTTTTT